GTATCAATCCCTTTCCCAGAAGGCCCCTGCCATCTGGGGCTGGAAATTCTCTTAGCAGAGAACAAAGCTTTTTTTATATTTACAGATCAAGTTAAAAAAAAAAAAAAAAGACCCAGAGGAGAAGTAACTCTTGACTTCCCCTTTTCTGTCGTTGCCCACATCTCCAAGGCGCAAAACCTCCTCTGCCTCTTCAACTCCCCCTCCTCACGTCCAGACACCAAGTCCTCCCAGTTCTTTCTTTGGTGTCTAACTCGTTTTCCATTCCTTGTGCTGACATCTCACAATCAGGTCTTCATTATTTCACCTGCGTCACTGAAATCAGCTCCATACAGAACACTTCTGTCTTCATTCTTAATGATCCACACCAACTAAAACTATAGTTCTAGATTTTAACCTGGAATTTCAATGATTCCACATATGATCTCTAGCACTTTCTTCTATACCTACCCGCTGCTATGTTAATCTCTTGCTTTGGCTAAAGTGGTCTAATTGGTGTTTCTGAAAGGATCTGCTACCCCAAATTTCAATAGTATATTGTGTGAAAATCACTTAGCAAAAATTTTAGCATTACATAAGTATGAATTATTCTGTCTTGTACCTACCCCTGAGCAATCTTTTGTCAACATTTAATAGTTTAATAATTCTCTTCCTATTCATATGCTGTGCTCCTACTCTGTCAAGACATTCTTCCTCTTATCTAGTTACCCCCAACTGCCATTTCTCTGACTTTATAGATTCATCTTTTCTCTCTCTTCCCAGGCCCTTCTGATACAACACATGGGAAGCCACGAACCTGCATCTTTTTCCAGGATCTCCACCTCCTCAACCAACCCAGGCTACCAGTATCCAGCAATGCCGTAACAAATTTCATCCCAGGCCCCCCCTTGACAAGAAGATGGGATCAGGTTGTCTTTGGCATCTCCTAAAGAATGTCTGCCTTTTCAAACCACTCCCTTCCACGTGCCCACAGCTCAGTCCTGGGTGCTTTATGCAGCTTTCCCCACCTACTCTTTCCTACCCACCCCCCAGCTCACAGCGATCTTTGTCTCCTGAATTCTTACAGGGCCAAACCCTTGTGACTTGCCCTGTTGAGATTATATTAATATTCTACCAATAGTATTCCTTTAGCCTTCGTAGCTTGTTCTTATATACCCCAATAGGTTGGAAACTCCTTCAAGGTGACAAAAGTATCTTATATGAATTTGTAGACCCATATGTCAACATTATTTAATGGAGCCTGACACGTGGTGGCTCCTAATTTGTTACCCAGGCTTGTTAGTCACACTGGAAGTGAATGATAACGATTTTCTTTCTCAGGTTGAGTGTTGATGGAGACTCAGGAAGGCCTGTAGAAAACAGAAAACCATTGTCCCCTTGGAGGAATAGATGCCAGAGCAGAGAACAAGGGCCAAGAAGGGAGATGCCCAGAATCTAAAAAACAAATGTTTCAAAGGCATCATTTTATTCAAGGTCAGGGACACATTAATGGAACAGTTTTCAGATGAGAAATTCTAGACAGCTTTTCTTCTCCCCATTCCCCCGTCTTTACTCTTCATTATTGCAAGAACATGTGTATACATGTAGTGAATGTACAAGGCTTCCTGCAGCTTCAGAGCGCTCTCTTGTGGGGCCAAAATATCCCTGACCTTTGTGTTCCCCGTGGGTTGTACCGGGGCTCAGCATGTCCTGCAGCCATCATTCTGATAGCAGAAAGCAGTGGAATTACCAAACATACCATGGGAAACAGGAGGCATTGCCGATGATTCTAACAGGGGGAAAGAGAGCATAAAAATTAATTTTAGCATAGTAATAGATCTTCCATTCAGAACCCCACTATCAAGTGAGACCCAGACAGAAAGGAAAATGCCTCTCCATTTTTAACTGAGTGACAAATGCCAAAACAATGCACTGCTTTAATTAAAACCAGGGGAGGCTATTTTCTTCTAGCTACAAGTTGTGGGAAGACAGAGGAGGGGCATCAGACTGTCCACTGCTTTAAAAACACAAGATGCGGTTGTGTTTCTTGTTGCTTTCACCAGAGGCTGCATTTCTCTTCTGCGTGTCCTCCACCCTGTCCATATTAATTAGACAGATGTCTAAGTCTTAACCGTAGGTGTCAGTCAGGGAAAATTCATGGTTTCCTGGCAAAACGATGAGATGTGACCTCTTTTCAGAGACAGGATTTTTTTTAAAAAGAAATCACTCATTTAGAATGAGTTTCATATCCCTGATCTATATAGCAGAATCTTCTCCTGATGACTGTATTTTTTAACTTCAATTTTTAACTAATACAAAAAAATACAAGTAGACAGTAATTCCGATTAAAATACAGATGCATGGGTTACTGATATCAGTTTATTGTAGCATTACCATTAATAAAGTCCTTTATTGTCACAGAGAAAAGTGAAGGCCAATTTTGATGCATATATATTTTGTCTTAATACAAAGACTAAAAGAAATAAAAAGCATCAGGGGCTGTTGACTGCTACGCACTTATTCCCCAAATTTCTCTATTGCCTTGGCAATTATGCTCCAATTGGATGCTCCTTCCTCATTTTGATGTAATTCCTCCAAAGTAGGAAGAATAAATGTCTAAAAACCATTGCCATACAGTTCTGTAAGAGATACAAATAAATGGAAGACTCAAGACTTTGAATGTAATACTTGCTGGCCAAGGTGTAATTTTGATAAATTTTGAACTTGAATTCTTTTACATATATAATTTGTTCTAAAATTAAGGAAGACACACAGAAAAGTGCATTTTCATACAGCTGTACTGAACTTATTGTGAGCAAAAAAAGAAACTGAATTTTCAAATGAATAATTTTTGGACCGAAGAAGTCTACCTTAGCCCCTTATCAGCATTACATATGCATAAACAAACCATCCAGTGAGTGTCCAGAGTTCTTATACTTTATCTTAACTGGATGTGATGCTTATTCTCAGTTTCAGTTAGAGAAAATGATACCAAATGGAGGCTTTGTTCTGTTGACAAACAAGAGAATGGCTTCAGTGATAGAGCTGTCTTTTCACCTAAATACAAGTGAACTTTCCATTGGCAACTTTTGCAACACTGTTCTCAAAACAGCCAGTGCAATCATTCAAAAGGTCCGGTTGAAGGGAGAAGGGAGTAAAAATCAATAACTTTGTGCAATTACTGGAAAACACAACCGTTAGTCATCAGAAAAGCAGAGGCTACATCTAACTAACTAACCTCTTGATCCCAGTCCTGTGGATGGAAATTTACATTCAAACGGAGCACCAAAATCACTTCCCTTCTGGGGGCAGTAAAGATTATAACTGTTTCTCAGCAGAAGTAGCAAGGTTGAAAGAGTAACTTTTGTGGGGGAGAAAGCTTGGAGTGCTCCACATATTCAAATGGCAAGAAACTGGTTTGCCCTAGACCTGTGGCTCACATCAGGCCAAGGAGCAAACCTAACCCTGTACAAGGTTCTCAGGGACTCCTCAGCGAGAGTACCCCTAACTAGTCTTTGGGGCCCCATTATTTAAGGTAACTGTGAAGTCCCAGACGGTACTAAACCTATCGGGGCCCATTTGATTGGAAACCTGGAATTCCTATTTGGAAAGCAAAATCCTGGTAACTGTGTGCTGGACGTCCTACAGATTAAATCTCGTGTAGTGTTAGGACGCGCTTAACAGAACTATTCTATCCGAAAGGACAGGGGGTAACTAGGAAGAAGGCGTCTACATCCTTTGGATGAAACTGCCCTTTCGGCTTTCACGAGCAGCGCCATCTGCAGGCCGGGCCGCGCGCACTGACATCTCCTGCCTCTTAAAGGCCCGACCCCCCCCCCCCCCTTTGGCTTCCCCGGTCCCGCTCCTCCCGCCGGACCTAGCTCCAGCGGCTTCCGCAGACCACCGCGGTTTAGACGTCCTTCTGCGCGGACCGCGGCGTAGGCGGAAGAATGGCTGCAGTTGGTTGAGTTCCTCGCGCGCGCGCCGCGCGCACACCAGACAGCCGCTGCCTGCGGAGGCGCGGGGCAGGTAGGCGGCTGGGCGGCCTAAGCACACGCACCTTGGCCGGCGGGCACAGCCCGCGGTAGGTAAGTGGCGACACCAGAACGTGCAGACGCGCCAGCAGCCTATACAAACAGAAGTCCGTTCTCCCTCCCACTGTCAGTTTCTTTGGTGAGTGCTGACGCCTTGCAAGGCAAGCACGGATAAAAATCGTTCCGCACTCCCTTCTCGCTCTCCCCCAGTGGCCCAGCCTTGCTTGTACTTACAAGTCCACTCTAAGAGACAGCTTCTGGCCACTTGTTTGGAGTCCAAGAGAACAGAGCTGGGGGCTGGGCGCGGAAGAGTTACTCTGCAAGTCTGCACAGGGAGGTGGGGATTACCAGGGACACCACAGTCAGTGGGAAAAACAGACCCTCCAGCTTTTCCCGACTAGCAAACCTATGCAGAGGGACTAGGGAGGGCATATAGAAAAGCTGGAAAGAAGGGATGAAACTGAAAAATAAAAGTGAGTTTCCAGGGGGAGGGCGGGAGAGAGTTGGGAATAGGGAATGAAGCAAACTCCTGAACGTTTAATACAAGTTCTAGCAATGGGGCGATCGGGTGGGAGCCGTTAAGTGGGCGCGGCAGCTGGGTGTACTGTTTTTCTGTGTAGATTTTTTGCCTTGAACGGCTGAGGCTTAAACTTCCGCCGCGAAGATTTGGGGTGCAGAAGAGGGACGAGGCAAGTGCAGGGTTCAGAACTGATTCTGAAGCCAAAGTCTGAGCCAAGGTCGCTTATCACAAACCGGGGAGTTTCCCAAGCCCTCCAGACCCTCCGCTGGGGCTCTTTGCACAAAGCGCACTCGTCCGTCCGAGGAGGGGATTGGGCGACGGGGGAGGAGGGACGAGGTCTGGAAGCGGGGGACCCCGAGCAGCCGAGAAAGTCAGAGGAAAAGTAGCGAGCTATCATAGGTGTTGATTCCAGAGGGCTGGAGGAGGCAGAGAGGATGGGGCCGGCCTACTCGCCGACTACTCCTCCACCATCATCCGCGGCAGAACTTGCACTTGATGATCTTCTTAAACGCGTTTTGGAAGTCTTTGTTGAAGTAGGCGTAAATGACAGGGTTGAGCAGAGAGTTGGAGTAGCCCAACCAGTTGATTATGGCGCCCAACAGGGTGGGCATGTGGCAGCTGCTCTCGCAGAAGGGCAGGACCAGGGCCACGATGAAGAAGGGCAGCCAGCAGAGGATGAAGGTGCCCATGATGATGCCCAGCGTCTTCACCGTTTTCCTCTCTCGGGCCAGGGCCATCTTGCGCTTGGCCTCCGCGTTGCGCTCATTCTTCTTCTCGAAGGAGGCGGGGGCGCAAGGGATTGCACCCGCCTCGCTGGGCAGCGGCAGGTGCTCTTTGGAGTTGCCCACCCGGTGCACTTCAATCACCTCCAGGGCGGCGCCCTCGTCACCCTGCCTCACCGCGCCGTTGGTGCACAGAGCACCCCCTGCCTTATTCTCCACACCCTGCCTCCATTCTCTGCTCCCCGGATCGCCGTTTACGCTCTTCTTGGGCTGCGGGGCTGGCGACACCCCAAAGCGGGTGTCCGCTCCCTTCTTCTCCACCTTCTTGACTGTTTTGCGGATGCGGAAGCGCGCAGCTCGGAAGATGCGTCCGTAGAGAACCAGCATGAGCAGCAGCGGGATGTAGAAAGCGCCAAAGGTGGAGTAGATAGTGTAGCCGTGGTCCTTGCTAATCGTGCACGCGTCGGGGTCCGAGCGGTCTTCGGGGGTGCGCCAACCCAGCATGGGCGGGATGGAGATAAGGAAGCCAATGAGCCAAGTGAGCGAGATGAGCGCAGCGGCGCGCCGGGGCGTCCTCTTGTTCACATAGTCGATGGGGTCGGTGATGGCCCAGTACCTGTCCAGTGCAATGGCGCACAGGTGCAAGATGGACGAGGTGCAGCACAGCACGTCGAGGGCAATGAATAGGTCACAGGTGACCTGCCCCAGTGTCCATTTGTTGAGCACCTGGTAGAGCGCAGCCATGGGCAGCACCAGCACCGACACCATGAGGTCGGTGACAGCCAGCGAGCCGATGAGATAGTTGGCCACATTCTGCAGGGAGCGCTCCAGGGCGATGGCGGCCACCACGCACGCATTGCCCAGCACCGCGCAGAAAATGAGCGTGCCCAGCAGCAGTGAGGTGATCACTTGGTAGCTGAAGGTCACGTCGGAGACGCCAGTAGCGTTGCCGCGTGTCCCGGGGGGACCCTCTGACAAGGTGGTGTTGTTGCCCTGTCCCGGGCTGAGCACATCCATGCCTGCGCGCCCGGCAGGGGGAGGGGGAGGGGAGAAAGTGCTGCGTTAGGATCCCCCTCGCCCCTCCCCCTGGGGTCTTCCACCCCTCTCTCCTGGGGAATTTCAGGTGGAGGGAATGCAGGGACTCAACGGGAAGTTCTTACTGCTCAGGCGAGGGCATCTCCGAGGAGCAGCTTCCAGGCGCTCCCTGGGCTCCCTTGGTCCAGCAGGCTCAGAGACTCCAGCTGGGAAAGGAGTTCGCCAGAGAACAGCTCCGGGACCTCTGGGCGTTGGAGAGGTGGCTGGAACGTCTGTTTCTCACTGTCCATTTTACTTTGCCGCTGCCCAACTGGCCGCCGGAGCCGGAGTCTCCCCACTAGCAAACAGTCTTCAATCTTAGAAGTATCTGGAACAGAGAAGCCTCGTCCTCTAGGGTCACTCTGTGACTCTCCTCTTCCTGCTTCTCTCCCTTTCTCTTTTCCACTCTCTCCTCCTGTCTCCCCTCTAGAAAGCCTTCTCCCCCTCTTTCTCCCTCTCCCTTCTCTTTCAGTCTCTTTCTTCCCCTTTATCCTTCCGTGTGTCGCTCCGACAGCTCTGAGAGTGTCCCTCCCTCCCACGCTAACCCTCCCCTCCTAACACTTCCCCAACCCTGAGTGTCTCTTTCCTCTGGGTCCCCGCCCACCTCTCCCTCTAGCTCAGCGTCTTTTCGTTCTAGCCCCTTTTGGTCGGCAGAGATTCAGAATTCACTTCCACCGGATCTGCCGCCGGTCAGACCAATATTAGAACATATAACTCCGCCTCTCACCCAGCCAAACTCGAGAGGAGAAAAAAATCCTAACTATCCATTGCTTCATATTTCTGTCAAATTATTGAGTAGAGTTAACAGCCACAGAGTGGCAATAGGAAATGAGAAGAGGAGCCACGTGGAGCCTGAACGGGGAGGTAGACAGTCCTGGGTTCGTCTGTAGATTATTGTTAATTGATGGAAAGAAGACAAAGTGTTTCTTAGCTTTTTAAAGAAGCCAGCCCGTTCATTATCTGACAGTCCAGTCTGACTCCCTTGGGGAGGATGTTGCCTGTGCCTTTATTTATTTTTTTAACCTTGGGTAATTAGGGGGGAAAGGAATTATAAAGGACGTGTCAACGGACAGGTAAACAGCTGCATCTCAAAGTGAAGGGAAAAAACTCAATTCGGTATGTATTCTACACACATGCTCATGCCTTTCCATTACCATTACCTTTTTAATTTCAATAAACATTGCCACGTTTCATAGCTTTGTGGAGAGTAAATGTAGGGAAGGGAATCTTTTGCCTGTATTCTGTAAATAAGGTTGGGCATTGTATATGGCCTTTTGCTTCTTCTTTACCTGAGCCTGCAAACCTCTAGGGGACCTTGGTGGAACCCCTGGTCGCTGGCCGGTAGTTTCTCTTAAGCGCCGATATCGGCTTCAGCACTTGGGACAGCTCTAGGCAATAAGGGCTTATATCGCCACCTTCCGGCAAATGCTTTGGAGAGCCCACCTAGAAATCCTTGGCTTGCAGAAATTAAGCAGGTACTGAGGCAATCCCATAACTTCATGGAAGAAAAACACGGCTATTAAAAGAAAAGTAATATTGAATTTTGTATTCTTCTTCTATTTTCTTAAAAAAATTTCTTTTATTGCCCTCTTTTGCTCTTAATCTTGTTTATCAGTCTATTCTATTCTCTAGCTCTTTTTAGAAAGCCCGCAGAACCAGCCGTTCAGAAGTTATATCTAGGAACGAGGTATTAAGAGACCTAGGCAAATATCTTCACTTGTGTTGTTTTTGTGCTGACAAAGGCTGCATTTTGGAACTCATACACTTACACACATTCACTAACGGGGGGAAAACAGATTTTGCAAAGGGGAATGACAACATAGAAAATAAATAGACTATTATGGGTTGGTTCTAAGCTGTTTCTTTTACCAAGAGAGGCACATTTAATCCCATTTGAACACAGGTAAAGAATGGGACTCCCAATCTACTAGGAAAAAAAAAACATATAACACATCAAAGTTCACTCGTAGATGCTGATTACATGACTGAAGCGAAGGAAAAGTGCAGAATGCAATCCTACAAGCAGATGTGACTAGGTATGACTCTAGTTAACATGCACAGATTCACCTCAGATAGCAATAGTCTTGATACTGTCTTCAAATTTGAGCTGAATTTTATGACTTTGAATTCTCCAAGACCAAACAAAAGAGCAATCACCAAAGTGTCAAAGAAAATCTAATTGGGCTGATGCATACAGTACAGGGCAATGTGTTTGGGGATGGATTGTTTTACAATGCAGTGCTGGGCACGGTTCCCACTCAATCATTTCAGCATGCCACAATAATGAACGTGACATTTATAATGATTCATGGCATTGAAAAGAAAGAGGTAAGTATACGTAGCAATACTGGCTACAGACTCTGAAATGTCTTTTTAAGATTTGTGAAGGTACTGATTCCCCTTTTAAAATATCCTCACAAAAATGGAACTAAATAGCTTTATTAAAGTATAGTTGCAGGCTCAGAAATTATAGTAGGAAAATAATTAAAATATGGATTCTCCAAAGATGAAATTTTGGAAATAGAGTTGATAACATAAAAGAAAAGTAAAATGAAGGAAATTTAAATTTTAAAAAGTAAATATATACATATCAAAGACATCCTTAAATAGGAATCCTGTCAAACTTAGTACATATATATATATGTCAGTAAATATGTCAGTCGGGAATATATATTCATTGATTGGATCCCATATGGTTTAATAACTGACAGATTTATTTTTTCCTTTTCAGGAAAGCTAAAATTATTTAAATCTGGAATTAATTATATTCATTAAGTCTGGTGTTTGCTATTCTGCTATAATAGTCTACAATGTAGCATTTTTATAAGTTGAAAAAAATCTCAAGTACTTCATGTCTTCCATAGGGATAATGTACATAATATTTCAAACATTTCATTTCTTTTTTTTTATAACAAGATTTTTAGGCACTCTTGTGAACACTAAGAAGAAAACAGAAATATGAAAAGGATATACAGCACTATGGTACCAGAACCTTTAAGTGACCAATAGTTAGGTTATATAACCTTTGTTGAACTAATACTACTGTGATAGATACTAAAAGCACAAAGATATTGCATTTCCTCATGTTCACACTTTGCCATTCTTCTAAATTTAATCCTTAAAGACACAGAATCCCAGATATGCCAGAAGAAAATGGTACAAACCAAAGATCTGGGTAGTTAGGCTCTTATTCTTCAAGGCCTCTGAAATTAGCCTGAAGAAAAGTTAGCCTTAAAGCAGATGTATTGATGACATCGCTTGAAAACAAAACTTGCAGTCATTCTGCTTTTATTTCTTGTTTGAACTTACTAGATGCAACTTGTCAGTTCTGGATCTGGAGTATGATACACCATCCATCATGTGAAATTTCTCTAAAATAGTTTATGAGAGATAAAGATTTTCAACATTTTCACAGGAAATTTGATACAAGCCCTGCATTTCAATGTAATTTTTTGACCAGGGACATAAGATAAAAAGATATTAAGCTGATAATATACTAAAAAAAGATATTTGCTGTAAAGTCTGAATGTGCTGTCATTACTGAAGGCTCAGTAGTGTTTGGGGCTTCTCAGTAATTGAAGTATATTTATCCATAATCCCCAAATCACGGCTGATTTTTCTACTAATGAGGAAATAACTTATATAGTCAAGAGTTGAAAATGTACTTAGGAGATTACAAAAGTGATTTTTAAAAGGTTCTATCAAAAAGTTTTAATTTTTTTTCAAGTGGAAGCTAGGAGAGTTTTTTTTAAAGTAAAAATACCATTCTGAATTTAATTTTCCCCAATCATCAAATAGTAAAGCAATAGGGCAATTATAGTTCTTCCAGAACTGTGGGTTTTTACTGGAATTCACTAGAAAAACAAAATAAACTTGCAAGAGAGGTGTTCGCTTAAATAATTTAGGATATGTGGTCCTCTGATTATCAGTGAGAAATAACTGGTCATCTATAAAAAAAAAAAAATGCAACCAAAATGCAAGAGAAAAAATTCTCCTGTAAAACTGAGCACACTTTTTTGTGTGTCAGTCCTCACCATGCCCCTTCCTCTGATGGTATCATACTTTCACTGCCATTTGTATGTCAGGCATTTCTGAGAGGCCCAGACTGCACTTCGTTTTCAGTACCAAAGCCCAAACAGTGGAGCCTCAGTCTCTGCTCCTGAGAATCATTTAAGATTGGCTTCGTTCATTTAACAAACATGCTAAAACCACAGCATATGGAGAGTGGAAAAAAACATAACATGTATTCACTAGGTGCGTGACCTTGGGCAAGTTGATTAACCCTCTTGCTTCCTGAGGAGTAAAATGAATGTGACTATAAACTTGAGAAGATTAAATGATATCAATAAATACCCAATAAAGGTGAAACAATAACAATAGTAATAGTGCTGCAAATATAAATATTAATTATCTCTCTACTGACAACTGCTGAGCATGCGGAGAAAGAGAATTAGATAGGCTTAGTGAAAGAGCAAGAATTTGAAAAAAAAGTCACCCTCTCAGGTGAGAATTTATTGGGAAAACAGTTCGCACATGGATGTGACCTTCTTCCTATTCCTTAAAGTGTTTGGTAAGCTTGCAATTCTTTGGGAAATTCCGAATACAAGATAAGTGAATGAAGATGTAAGCTCTGCATTCCAGAACTTGCTGACTTAAATCAGAAGTTATTGAAAGGGGAAAAAAATGTCAACAGAGTTCAATAATCACTTTTGAATTGGAGTCTGCCCTTTTTTCTGGGAGCTTAACCATTTGTTCAAAAGCATAAAATAATTAATTGAAATCCATAGCTCCAGTATAAGGTATAAAACTATGGTAAAAAAAAAAACATAAGTCAGTACTTTTGTTATAAGTAATTAAGAAATTATAGTGGTGGGTGTTAGTAAATGTACTTTCCTGAGCTCAGTTCTTCTACTCTGCTTTCTTTCTGACAATATTTTCAGAGC